ATATAGCAAGCCGCCAGGTAGCTGAAAGAAGGCAAAGTTTTGAATTTTTGTTTTCTATGAACCTGAACCGTGCAGGTAGCCTGATGAGTAACCATCGACCCGGCTGCTTCGAGATACCAGACTTTGGGTATTTGTATAGTATTGTTTGACGTGCATGTGCTGAAAAAGGCTGTATAGCCGAAATGTTCAAGTTTTGTTTGTGTTTGTTATATTGTGAAGCTTGCTAACTTACTTTTCGTTCGGTTTTATATATTTTATGAATATTTTTCGGAAGTTCTCCATCCGAAACTTGATGCTGTTTTGATGCAAGAAACCTACGGTAAGAGGGGAACATTCTATGCCTGGACATTCCACGCACACCAACCAGTACATTAGTTAAAGAAGACACGTCGATATTTGCAGGAAAAGCTGTGGTAGTTTGTCCTTGCTGTAGTGCACTCATTTAATTCCTTTTTCTAAAAAAAAAAAAAAAAAAAAAAATCAGCAAGATATGCGAATTTGAGCATCAAGTCTTCATCGTTTAAAATCATCAAAAGTGCTACAACTCTGCATGTCATCCAATCAAAAGTGCTACAACTCTGCATGTCATCCAATCAAAAGTGCTACTACTTTACATGCCATCCAATCAAAAGTGCTACTACTTTACATGCCATCCAATCAAAAGTGCTACTACTTTACATGCCATCCAATCAAACGTGCTACTACTCTGCATGTCATCCAATCAAAAGTGCTACTACTCTGCATGCGATCCAATCAAAAGTGCTACTTCTCTACATGCCATCCAATCAAAAGTGCTACTACTCTACATGCCATCCAATCAAACGTGCTACTACTCTGCATGCCATCCAATCAAAAGTGCTACTACTCTGCATGTCATCCAATCAAACGTGCTACTACTCTACATGCCATCCAATCAAACGTGCTACTACTCTGCATGCCATCCAATCAAACGTGCTACTACTCTGCATGTCATCCAATCAAAAGTGCTACTACTCTGCATGCGATCCAATCAAAAGTGCTACTTCTCTACATGCCATCCAATCAAAAGTGCTACTACTCTACATGCCATCCAATCAAACGTGCTATTACTCTGCATGCCATCCAATCAAACGTGCTATTACTCTGCATGTCATCCAATCAAACGTGCTACTCTCTGCATGCCATCCAATCAAACGTGCTACTACTCTGCATGCCATCCAATCAAACGTGCTACTACTCTGCATGTCATCCAATCAAACGTGCTACTCTCTGCATGTCATCCAATCAAACGTGCTACTCTCTGCATGCCATCCAATCAAACGTGCTACTCTCTGCATGTCATCCAATCAAACGTGCTACTTCTCTGCATGTCATCCAATCAAACGTGCTACTCTCTGCATGTCATCCAATCAAACGTGCTACTACTCTGCATGTCATCCAATCAAACGTGCTACTCTCTGCATGTCATCCAATCAAACGTGCTACTCTCTGCATGCCATCCAATCAACCGTGCTACTCTCTGCATGTCATCCAATCAAACGTGCTACTCTCTGCATGCCATCCAATCAACCGTGCTACTCTCTGCATGTCATCCAATCAAACGTGCTATTCTCTGCATGCCATCCAATCAAACGTGCTACTCTCTGCATGTCATCCAATTAAAAGTGTAGTTCCGGAGACAACCATCTGACATCAGTGTGTAGCAGGAGGGGGGATATTGGTAGCTTCTCAAATCTTCCAACGTTAGACTGAAAAGCTTGCTTTAAAGAGTTGATGATTTTATAGTTTTCTTGATTTGTTTGGCGGCATTCAACATTATCATCATCATCATTATCAGCAGCAGCAGCAGCAGCAGCAGCAGAAGAAGAAGAAGAAGAAGAAGAAGAAGAAGAAGAAGAAAAAGAAGAAGAATAAAAAGAAGAAGAAGAAGAAGAAGAAGAAGAAGAAGAAGAAGAAGAAAAAGAAGAAGAAGAAGAAAAAAGAAGAAGAAGAAGAAGAAGAAGAAGAAGAAGAAGAAGAAGAAGAAGAAAGAAGAAGAAGAGAGAAGAAGAAGAAGAAGAAGAAGAAGAAGAAGAAGAAGAAGAAGAAGAAGAAGAAGAAGAAGAAGAAGAAGATGAAGAAGAAGAAGAAAAAGAAGAAGAAGCAAAAGCAGAAGAAGAAGAAGAAGAAGAAGAAGAAGAAGAAGAAGAAGAAGAAGAAGAAGAAGATGAAGAAGAAGAAAAAGAAGAAGAAGAAAAAGCAGAAGAATTAGAGGAAGAAGAAAAAAAAACCACAATAAATCAAAAAACACACAATAATTACATATCGTGTATAAAATATAATAAAAACTGCCAGAAATTAACGCCACCATAAACAAAACGACAAAATGTATTCAACCGAGACAACTCCAAATATCTTTGCTGTCTACCCTAACGAGGAGTATGTCTCATATGCGTTTTTATTGTAGTGAGGTGACCTCTCCTCTTCTTCCTCTTAACATTCCAAGCTGAATACTCCGGCAGAAAGTTCTGGTTGTTCGTCCACTTCTTGACTTTGATTTTTTCTCTGAACTTCAGTTTTGCGTGGATGTCCATTCTTTGGATCTGGCTCAGTTCTACACAGACAGGTGCTTCTTCTTACAGACGGTCACAGCCGGTGAAAACAAAGGCGATATGGCGCTTTCTTAATATCCTACCCCAAACAGGGAAAATCCACAGGTCACAGGACAGTCAAATATTTCAGGGGGTGGTAGATAGGCTGCATTCAGTCTTGGGACCTAGGCTACACTCTCTCGTGGGACGTAGGTGGGTTGGGATTAGGGCCAGTTCGGGATATTTTAGGGTCATTAAAAGCAGCAGAAAGCCAGGAAACCCAGTCTTACCACCCTCTAAAATGTTGGACTAGCCTGTGAAGACATCTGAGGTAGGATATCACGAAAGAACCGTAGATATAAATAAATTATTGCAGTACGTACAATTTTTGACGACACACAGAAATGTGTGAATTTTATTTGTGTTTCTGTAAACAGCTTCAGCCATTGGATTACTCCTGGACAGCAACCAGACACGGCTTTCTATCTACTGAACCAGTTCTCTACACAAAATACGACACACATTCATCAGTTTGAAAGGCATTTCTGCAGGTGCATCACAGCAGACAACTAACAGTTATGACAGCACGTCGGCAGATGTATGGCAGCACACAGTCGTCACTTATGACAGCACGTCGGCAGATGTATGACAGCACACATTCGTCACTTATGACAGCACGTCGGCAGATGTATGGCAGCACACAGTCGTCACTTATGACAGCACGTCGGCAGATGTATGGCAGCACACAGTCGTCACTTATGACAGCATTTGATGGAAGACAACATGCAGACATAAATTATGACAGCACTGGAGTGATGGAAGACAACCAGCAGTCATATTTCATGACATATTTCATACAGTCAAGTGATTCTTAAGCTAACAGCAGTCATCAGTGACATGATACCAAACGATAGTGCCAAGACTGCTTTTGCTTCCCAGTATGTAGAAAAAGGTAATGTGGTCTTTCTGTTCATACACATACAAAAATAATTGCCATATCGTTTTGGAAAGGGGTATAAATCTTGATAGCAACTTACAGAGGGCTCATATTTCAACAGAAATGTAAGTTGAAGAGATCTAACGTCATGATTCAGATTGTTTGGCTTCTCGGCGCCGATTACCTTCCGCTCGTCATCTTGTAAGGGGACGTGTGCAGAACTATCTCATGACTCCAGCTGGTAAGACTCTGGCCAGTGCCTCTCCTGCATCCTACTTCTACACATCCACAGCAGTTTTACTGGCCTGTGTCCAGTAAAGAATGGAAGACAGAAAGAACGAAACAAATAAAACAGCAAAGGTCTCTTTCAACTCCAAGGCCGGCCTCCGGGATGTCAGGATGGGCTTGTGAGACCAATGGGCATCTAGTGGGTGGTGTGGATAACATTATGCCGGCCGTCTTTGTTTCCACGGACATTTCATGGAACCAACAGTGAGCTGGATATGGAAGCCATATTCAATTATAATAAAATATCAATGTCATAGTGGATTCGAACCCAAGATGTTTGGACCTGAACACCAACATCTAGCCAGTGAACTACCTCAGCTCGTGTTGCGGGACATGCTAGAGGGACACTGGAGGGGAAGCGAGAGGGACACTGTAGGGGAAGCTAGAGGAACACTGGAGGGGAAGCGAGAGGGACAAATGCAACACTTTATGTTGACAGGCAATATCTAGAGATGGACAGAAGAAGCCTCTGTTCATGGAGAAGAAGGAGCTTCAAGTGGGAGTTTGATACACTTGTGAGCTAGTCTTCTGTGGGATCATGCCATTTGATGATGATGATGACAATAATGATGATGATGATGATGATGATAATGATTTCTAAATAGCTATTTATAAATACTATCTTCCTTTGTACTGACTGCCTGTCAGGGTCATGGAACCTATACAACACTGTCTCGGACAATCATTGAGTCAACACTGGAACCTACACAACACTGTCACGGACAATCATTGAGTCAACACTGGAACCTACACAACACTGTCACGAAATCTTCAAGTCAACACTGCAACCTACACAACACTGTCACGAAATCTTCAAGTTAACACTGGAACCTAGACAACACTGTCACGGACAATCATTGAGTCAACACTGGAACCTAGACAACACTGTCACGGACAATCATTGAGTCAACACTGGAACCTATACAACACTGTCTCGGACAATCATTGAGTCAACACTGGAACCTACACAACACTGTCACGGACAATCATTGAGTCAACACTGGAACCTACACAACACTGTCACGAAATCTTCAAGTCAACACTGCAACCTACACAACACTGTCACGAAATCTTCGAGTCAACACTGGAACCTACACAACACTGTCACGGACAATCATTGAGTCAACACTGGAACCTACACAACACTGTCACGGACAATCATCGAGTCAATCTCTCTTCTCAGATCTTCCGGGTGAATGGTGTAACTTCCCGAGGTGGTCGTCCTGTCATCCTCTGTGAGGCTGCACTGTGTGTTTGTGCGCACAGAGCTCGGGTAGGACCTCTCCGAGGATTTGTAGCTTCTGTCTCCGTGGGATGGCCTGCGATCTATCGGCACTAGGAAGAGCCAGACCCTCGGAACTCAGGCTCGTCAAGGGATGAGGTCCGGGAAAACGGTTGCTCTGTCCATGAAATGATCGCATGAGAGCAGTATTGTTGTTACTGTTTTGAGGTATGGTCGGGCGGTTTGACCAATCGCCTGCGACATTCCTCGACCGTTGTGTAAATGGCAGTGTCTGGTTGGCCGTTGCCCCGGAGTTTCCGGCACTCCCTAACGTCTGAACGTAATGGTTCATTGGTAAGGACTTGCTGATGTCGGATCTACTCTGGGAGCTCCGATCTCCGGAGAAGTCCGACTCAAAGTCGGAAGTTACCGAACTATGCGGTGATCGCTGGGAAATTACTGGTTGTCTGTGAGACGAGTCTTTGGTTGAGTGCGCGGGCGTCTGGCGCCCGGCTTTTGGAGGATGTAGAGAAAGTCTTTGTTGGTGGTAAAGTTGATGTCTGGGTTTGGAGTCAGCAGGAGCATGCGGTCCCCGATGGTAGATCTGGTAGCATAATTTGTTGGGGTTGTGTTCTGTGGACAGATGGAGAACAGCAATTAAAAGGGGTCAGAAACAGTTCTTCCGTCATGCTGTCACACTCCTTCTCCCAGTATTCTTTTACTAGCCATTCTATTTATCTATCTTTAGAATATTGTGTAGGAAACAAAATACAAAATTGATTCTGCTTCACAAATAAAGAGTGATTACCTTACCACTTAAAATGAGTTCTTCTCTCTCTTTCTTTTTCTTTCTTTCTCTTTCTTTTTTCTTTCTCTCTGTCGCCCCATCTATTTGTCTTTAATTCTCTCTCTGTCTCTCTCTCTCTTTGTCTTCCCCACTTTCTCTTCACATATATGCGCGTATTGTTTCTTAACAAGTAAAATTACAGACTTTAATTCAAAAAAACAAATCAAATCAGATCTGTAAAACAACACTTGGTGGAGTTGAGCATAAGGGGGGGGGGGGGGGGGGAGTAAGGAAAAGGAGAACGAGAACAAGAAGAAGAATCATTACAGCTTTGATTGTGTCGTGTATCTGTTCCAAATTTTCTTAGCTCCAATTTTTTTTATTAGCCGGTGTTCTGTCAGAAGCGACATCCAATTTTCATCAGTTTCATTTTACCGCTGTCTGGAATCATGGGTATAGATTTACAAGATATCCGGACGTGAAGATATTACAACGAAAAGAACAGAATTGTGTTTCTCCTGAGACGGACATCGGCGTATAGACTGTTTTACAGCTGCTCACAATAGTACCACACTGGTAGCTTGTCCGTGTATACAGCTAGTGTTAAAACTGTATTGTGAATCGATAGCTCACGTCACCGGGCGGTCGTGAAAAGGTTTAAACCTCCAGGCGATACCGTTATTGACAATAGAGGCTGGATTCGAAAGAAAGCCGTAGCGAGTTTGCCGGATTGTATCAGTGGCCATTCAAAGCTGTCTAAGTACTTGGACAAGACCCCGTGTGGCCCAGTTAAAACCCACCAATAACTGACTGTAAACTAGAATTATTTCTTGCCCCATTTCCCAGTGGGGGTTTCCAGTTTTCCATCTTTGGAAGAAATATAATCCTGCGGTTTGGATCTTTAACTCTTTTTCTATCCGTTTTCGAAGTTATGGCGGGCAATGATAATCCATACAGTTGGATACTAAAAAAATGCGCTGAATGGAAAAGTGGAGAAAGGGGTCGACAACGTTACGTATGGGTGGATATTATCCCAGAAGGGACCTGATGACCTGGCGCTGGAAATGGGGACCGGGGGTGGGGGATGGGTGTGGGGGAGGAATTTAATTTTTTATCTACCATGAAAATTAGAAAAAAAAAATTACTATGATGGAAGTGCCACCGCCACATCCCCCAGGGATTTGTAGGAGACTGAGACACGCCCCCTTCCTCCCGCCACCACGCCCCCTTCCTCCCGCCACCATCACCCCCCCCCCTTTTTTTCTCAACCCCATGTTATTTTATTTTAAGAGGAACAAATTTGTTAGGGGTGAATCTTCTCATTCGATGTTTCTGAGAGAAAACTTCAACCAGAAGGCCGGTAGCCTTCATGAAATCTATCGCACATTTCAAATATCCCATCCCTTGTCGTTACAGTTTTCCACTTCCTCTCACATCATGTTTAAAAAAAAAAAAAATGTATAATGTCTTATCTAAACAGAAATATTTATCTTTATTCGACCCATTAATTACCTGTTTATTCCCAGAGTGCTAAAACCTTACATTTTTGCTGTTAATTCATATTTCAAAATTATTCATTTATCTTTTCTTTAACGGTTGTTGCTGTTTCTTTATCCATAATTTCTGTTCATCAAAAATACTATTCTTTCACTATAGGCAGCGAATTGATTTTAGAACATTCAAATCTGACATATTAATGCGCTGGTATTCCCTAGACCGGGTCTAGAAAACATGACAGACACAACATGCAATCGTGAAATATTTATACGCGATAGACATCAAATTGCGTTTCGGTAATACCGCAGATTTCACCTTTTTCGTTAAATCTTAAATCGTAGTAAGTTAATTATACTCGAGCCTAGTTTTTAATTGTGTAATAAATGCAATTTACGGCAGTTTTATGTTTTTTTCGTTCCCTCTGCACAGTGGTTCTCAACCTGTGGGCTACGACCCCTTTTTGGATCACATGACCCTTTCACAGGGGTCGCCTAGGACCATCGCAAAACACATATTCACTTAGGCTATAAAGTATCAACGAAAATAATTGTATGGTTGGGGGGTCGCCACAACACGAGGAACTGCATTAAAGGGTCGCCACAACATGAGGTACTGTATTAAAGGGTCGTCACAACATGAGGAACTGTATTAAAGGGTCGCCACGACATGAGGAACTGTATTAAAGGGTCGCCACAACATGAGGAACTGTATTAAAGGGTCGCCACAACATGAGGAACTGTATTAAAGGGTTGCCACAACATGAGGAACTGTATTAAAGGGTCACCACAACATGAGGAACTGTATTAAAGGGTCGTCACAAAATGAGGAACTGTATTAAAGGGTCACCACGACATGAGGAACTGCATTAAAGGGTCGCCACAACATGGGGAACTGTATTAAAGGGTCGCCACAACATGGGGAACTGTATTAAAGGGTCGCCACAACATTCGGAACTGTATTAAAGGGTCGCCACAACATGAGGAACTGTATGAAAGGGTCGCGACAACACGAGGAACTGTATTAAAGGGTCGCCAAGACACGAGGAACTGTATTAAAGGGTCGCCACAACATGAGGAACTGTATTAAAGGGTCGCCAAAACGTGAGGAACTGTATTAAAGGGTCGCCACAACACGAGGAACTGTATTAAAGGGTCAACACAACACGAGGAACTGTATTAAAGGGTCGTCACAACACGAGGAACTGTATTAAAGGGTCGTCACAACACGAGGAACTGTATTAAAGGGTCGTCACAACACGAGGAACTGTATTAAAGGGTCGTCACAACATGAGGAACAGTATTAAAGGGTCGCCATATTAGGAAGTTTGAGAACTACTGCCTTGGAGTATTTATGTAGTCAGCCGGCAGATCCATCCATTCCCTTCCATGACTGACTTTGTCCAGAGTGCCTGTCTGGTGTAGTATGTTCGTAGCTTTCTTCAATCAGGAGCGATCTAATATCAAGCGCTACCACTGATCTTTTTGTTACATCATCTGTGGCATTATGCAGCAGGTCTTGCGCCTCCCTATGTATGTACGCCTTCGCCTGTGCCATTTTATGTCCGAGAACTGGAACTACAGAGTCGGCAACTATCCGTGCTTTCCACTGCGCCAATACTGCTGTCGCATGAGGACTAACTCGACCAGAATTGTTTCACTTTCAGCACACCAAGGTGCGCCTGTCGTTGTCACATGATAAATTACCAGTATCGATCCAACAACACGTAACAAACTCAAGGACACATCGTGTAGAATGATGATTAAAAAATCTGTGGCTGGATAATATAAAGGCAGACTCGCTGATAGTCAACATAATTACAGGGAATTGAATTAACTCAAGTTAAAAACAGTCGCCGGCTCCAACTAAAGGTTAAAATTAAATGTTGGCACACGTTCAAGAAGCGCGGGACACTGGTGATGAAGGCTGCACAAAAGAAGATATCTGATTTAATCATGTGGATTTTCCCCGCGAAAGATGGAGACATCAAGGCGTTTCGAGGGATGATTGCTGCGAGAACTGGGCTAAATGAAACCAGTTGCTGGGGTCGGAAATGGCGACCCAACAAGAGATGGTTTATTGGAAATTGCTGCCAGGAGAACTAGTGGAACTTGGACAGGGTGATGTGCTTAGGCTGACCCACGTCAGAGCTTTCATCGTACGTTAGAGTGAACATGATGGACAATGGATGGATTTACTCTTGGGGATATGATACACACGAACAATAGATATGTGCTGTATGCAGCCATGTACCGGTACGCACACGCCATGTCACGTGGTCACATCTGGAAATTCAGTGATCAAGCAAACAAGAGCAACAGAAGAGATAAGTGCGGTCGGTGACGAACGTGTTGACTGGTCCCTGTGTCAACATTAGCAAACTTCCGATGGTCGCTTGCATCAAGTTACAGAACTAATGGACACACGGAAGTGTGAAACTGGCTACCTCATCCACGGGAAAGACATTTAGCTGGACAGTTTAGCCTGTTATAGTGTGTCATTTGGCTCATACAAAGCATCCTGTCCCGAAATCTGGTTCACTGTGGCCATGTTCAACCTCGCCTGGAGAGAACAGCCATGAAGGCTACAGTTTCCGGACAACAAGGCCGAGGGGAGACTTTCGCGAATGTGGCTACCAGACACCCAAGATGTATTTCTGTGAAAGCACATAGGGCAGGAGAACTGGCTAGAGAAAGTGAGACTTTCACCCGCGTTCTGTAAAGCACATGATGTTTGAGGAAGAAGAATGAATCAGAGAAGCAATCAATCTGCTGACGTCTCCACAATTACAAATGGCCGCTGTGGCTCCTAGCAATGTCATGATGGAGACTACAACAGCATGGCGCAAGGGCCTTTAAATCAGTTGGAGACGAAAGACAGAAGGAAAAAAACAGTGCACCTTAACACCGGGTCGCAAATACTTGGTTTTAAAACTTGTCATTTGAATGTAGTGGTAACCATATTGAAAATAAGCTGTCTTTAAACTTTAACACCCACAAATTATAGGAGAAAAATCTGGTATCAACTTCTGACGTTCTTTAAAAGTGGGAAAACATTTAATAAATTAGTCACGCAAAATAAAACAAAAAACAAAAAACATGCATTCATAAGAGGATTAAAAGGGAGATTATCACGTCAACAAACCGCTCAACGAACACACTCACTGGGACATGCTAAGTCGGATACTGACTTTAGGAAATAAATATATATATATATACTTTATAATCTTCACAGCAAAATACTTTGATTCGAAGGTATCCATGCTTAAGAATGAAAGATGATTAAAAAGTCAAAGGGACAGGCTGACGGCAAACATCTTCCCCACATTGTTAGGTTAAGACCGGATGCGAAT